CTAAACTATTTACAAAGGTAGGTGGTACCTTTAGTTGTATTGAGGTACAAAGTTTTGAGGAGGAGGGGGAATGATCACTTGATCTCGTGGTAACGAGAATTGCAGGTTTTTAACACAATCCGCCGCAGAGTATTTGAGTTGAGGGAGAAAACACAGCAACGGGGTGTCCTCATCTTCCATATAACGGTAAACTAATGTGTTTGGATACAACCTTCCTGCTAAGGTGTGAGTGGTCACCAGATAATCAAAGTCCATCTTGGGGATGTGCTGGAAATATCGGTGTAGTTTCAGATCAATCCCACATGCAGTAAAGATGGGGGTCAACAATCCGCCAATACAGATCTGGTAATCCGGATTTGCAATGGCGTCATGCTTAGCCTTGAAGATCTGGTTGAGTAACCAGGACCCTACTTCTGGCCACATCCAAGCGCGGTTCAGCGGCTTGCCGTACCTGTTGTTTAGCCATCTTTGGGTGGCTGCATACACCATTTGTAGCTCTTCCTCCTTGGCCAGGCATGACTGTGGCCTCGCAAACATGGTGTTGCTGAGGATTCTCAGAGCATAACGGACTGTCGGGTTCCTGACCTTTGAGATTTTGCAGAGACTGGGGTGGTAGATGTCATCATTGGCAATGTTCCTCCATACTAGATCAGCGTCGTCCCAGCGAGGACTCGTTCGAAACATGTCACCAATTATTCCATATAATGCGAGGAACTTAGCATATTTCAAGGAGTAATGACTCTGCCCTATCTGGAATAAAATTCTTCCCCAGCCAAGGGATGAATCTTCCACCAGATAAGAAGCAGACGTGAGGAACTACCTAGTAAGGGAAGGGTAGGTGTGGTATTCCATTGAAGACAGAGATAGGAAGTTTAACTACGTAGCGAAATCGTCAAAGTTATCTCTGATCCTCATCTCAAAGAGCACTTTCCTGCAGGCGAACCTGGTCGGTACCACAGGGGTCTCGCTGAGCCGTTGTTGAAAGGCCCATTCGGCGTCGCTCCACAGGTCGGCCCTGTGATACACTTCATCCCCACTTGAAGAACTCGATGTACTCATGGTCCAGCAAAGGTGAAATATTTAACTGTCAAGGCTTCACAGAAAGAGGAATTGGTTATTGGAACACCCGGTTTGGTGTGATCCAAAGGTTGGTAGACGATCGATTAAATGCCGCGGTTCGGTTTCTCTTTTGTACCAGCTGAAATCCGTCGAGCTTGATGTTTTTGTGTACCAATATCTTACTCGTTGTTCATTTTCCTGTGAGAAACGTAGTATATCGGTTAAACCCGTCGTTTTAAACCGATGAATGATGCTAGATCAAATTCTTCCTTTACCATCTTTTCCTCTTAGCCTCTCAATCATTAAACTCGTCAATACATGTTGCTAGGTCACAAACAAAAGAGATATTATGG